TACTATACTGTTATAGCCTGTCTCACAGACCCTGAACCATGTTATATTCCCTCTTGCCCAGCCAATACTATACTGCAGTAACCTGTCTCACAGACCCTGAACCATGTTATATTCCCTCTTGCCCAGCCAATACTATACTGTTATAGCATGTCTCACAGACCCTGAACCATGTTATATCCCCTCTTGCCCAGCCAATACTATACTGTTATAGCCTGTCTCACAGACCCTGAACCATGTTATATACATCTTGCCAAGCCAATACTATACTGTTATAGCCTGTCTCACAGACCCTGAACCATGTTATATTCCTCTTGTCCAGCCATTACTATACTGCAGTAACCTGTCTCACAGACCCTGAACCATGTTATATTCCCTCTTGTCCAGCCAATACTATACTGTTAAAGCCTGTCTCACAGACCCTGAACCATGTTATATCCCCTCTTGCCCAGCCAATACTATACTGTTATAGCCTGTCTCACAGACCCTGAACCATGTTATATACATCTTGCCAAGCCAATACTATACTGTTATAGCCTGTCTCACAGACCCTGAACCATGTTATATACATCTTGCCCAGCCAATACTATACTGTTATAGCCTGTCTCACAGACCCTGAACCATGTTATATTCCCTCTTGCCCAGCCAATACTATACTGCAGTAACCTGTCTCACAGACCCTGAACCATGTTATATTCCCTCTTGTCGTTATATCCCTCTTGCAGCCATTACTATACTGCAGTAACCTGTCTCACAGACCCTGAACCATGTTATATCCCCTCTTGCCCAGCCAATACTATACTGTTATAGCCTGTCTCACAGACCCTGAACCATGTTATATTCCCTCTTGCCCAGCCAATACTATACTGTTATAGCCTGTCTCACAGACCCTGAACCATGTTATATTCCCTCTTGCCCAGCCAATACTATACTGTTATAGCCTGTCTCACAGACCCTGAACCATGTTATATCCCCTCTTGCCCAGACAATACTATACTGCTATAGCCCACAATAGAGATTTTCCACAGGCTCAGAATTTCCCTTCTCACTCTTGCACTTTTTCATTTATAATCTGCAGTTGCTTGTTTGTATCAAATAATCCATATTTAGAGACTAAGCTTTAGTCTGATCTTCCAGCACTATAGTCTGTTTGCAGTGAAAACGTACCAATGAATTTCACTTAAATTAAATAAAGTGAAATTAAGATTGTGAATCCTCATAATTTTACCTTGCCAATTAAACATTTAAATTTCAGAATTTTATTCAACTTAGGATAAAAGTTGTTTAACAGACGATCATAGATTCAAATCGCTATTATTGGTTTGTATTACAAGGGAGTAAACGCAGTAATTGGAACAGTGATACAAATGCACGTGCAGTACGTGATGAGCGTTAACTTTTATCCTAAGTCGAATAAAATTCTGAGATTTAAATGTTCAATTGGCAAGGTAAAATCATGAGCATTCGCACTTCTGATTTCACTTTATTTGATTTACGTTTTAGTTTAAAGTGAAATTCATCGGTACGTTTTCACTGCAAACAGACACTAATGGTGTTTATGGTCATGTGATTTCCCAGCCTTGGCTTCACCCAGCTTCAAAGTATCTATGATTTTAATAGATTCCAGGTTAGTTTTCAAGCACAATGCAACTGCTTCCAGGCGGAAACAAATTCTGTCTAAAAAAATACAATATTATGACATATTCATTTCTGATGCAAACATATTGTAATGTTATCAAATTTATTCCCCAAATTAATGTGAGTAGCCAAGGCTAGAAGCCTAATATACCAGAACACAAAGAAAGCCATCTTTTCATCCTGGAATATGTTCCCAATTTGATCACATGACGCTTGTCCTTAATTCACATCTTCCTCCAGATCCAATTATTCAATACAGCTAAGCCAATATTTCAGCACCTATGCTATTTGCAGTGACACTCGGATTCTCCGCCTCCCACCGAGTTCACACATATTCCAGCACCCCATGTTCTGTGTCAGGCACGACTCAGACAGTAGAAAAAATATGGACATCATGTCACGCAATACGTTCACACTACTACATTAACAGTATAAACTGAGTTTTCATTTTATAAATTTTGAGTGAAATGATTACCGATACCAATCTCTGAATTCCTGTTTGTAATATTCCTCAGAAAAATCAAGTTCACTGTTAGTCAAAATTACTATAGATAATATACCATGACAAGGTCAAATATTGAAGGTTGGTCCTCTAGTGCAAATCCACAAGAAACTTTTTTTTCTCTTTTTTTGTTTGTTTACTAATTGTTTAATGCTGCACTCAGAATTATTCCAGCTTGGTGATGGCTGTCTGTAAATAATCAAATCTGGACTGCAAAATCTAGTGGATGAAATCATGAGCACCAATACATGCAATTGGAATAAGAAAACATGCCTCAACAAAGTCAACAGTCTGACCACTTGGTTGGTCGCCTCTGACGTCCAAAAAGAGGTTGTTTATTCCATAAAACCTGTTCGTCCAATATGACTTCAGGACTAGTTGGTTATCACTGAGGGTATCTTTCCCTGAATTGGACATTAAAGGTAAAAATATTCCCTGTTGTTTTTTTTCTGAAAAAGTTACATATTTCCATTTCTAAAACCATAAAAGCCTTTGTTTTAATCATTCACTTTACAGACTTTCAAAACATTAGGTTGGTGTTAAAATACAAAACAATATATAAATGTTAGCTGCACTAAATCTCTTCAAGAATTTAATAGCTGGAGGGAACAAAAACAGAACTGTTTTACAGGAAGACTTCAAAGGGCTTCTCATGACTGAAATCATTTTTACTGAGAAGACAAAAAGGGCTGTTTTTCAAATTGTATGTCATTCAACATTTGTGCAGTGTAGGTGAGCTGTCGTGCAAACAAAGTAATTACCAAAAAAAATTCACCTTGTTAAAAATGGACCATATGTTTGCTGTTCTGGGTCATACTGTTACAATTTTACATTGTTACTTTGTCAGATGGTTACATTGTTACTTTGTTTCAATCACACTGTCAGATGGTTACATTGTTACATGGTTACATTGTTACTTTGTTTCAATCTCACACTGTCAGATGGTTACATTGTTAGAGGGTTACATTGTTACTCTGTTCCAATCTCACACTGTCAGATGGTTACATTGTTAGAGATTTACATTGTTACTTTTTTCAATCTCACACTGTCAGATAGTTACATTGTTAGAGGGTTACATTGTTACTCTGTTCCAATCTCACACTGTCAGATGGTTACATTGTTAGAGAGTTACATTGTTACTTTGTTTCAATCTCACACTGTCAGATAGTTACATTGTTAGAGAGTTATATTGTTACTTTGTTTTAATCTCACACTGTCAGATGGTGACATTGTTACATGGTTACATTGTTACTTTGTTTCAATCTCATACAGTCAGATGGTTACATTGTTAGAGGGTTACATTGTTACTTTGTTTCAATCTCACACTGTCAGATGGTTACATTGTTCCAGGGTCACATTGTTACTTTGTTTCAGTCTCACACTGTCAGATGGTTACATTGTTCCAGGGTCACATTGTTACTTTGTTTCAATCTCACACTGTCAGATGGTTACATTGTTCCAGGGTCACATTGTTACTTTGTTGCAGTCTCACACTGTCAGATAGTTAGTTACATTGTTCCAGGGTCACATTGTTACTTTGTTTCAGTCTCACACTGTCAGATAGTTAGTTACATTGTTCCACGGTCACATTGTTACTTTGTTTCAGTCTCACACTGTCAGATAGTTAGTTACATTGTTCCAGGGTCACATTGTTACTTTCTTTCAGATCACGGTCACATTGTTACAGATCCAGGGTCACATTGTTACTTTGTTTCCAGTCTCACACTGTCAGATGCTTACATTGTTACTTTGTTTCAGTCTCACACTGTCACTGAAACGATGGTCACATTGTTAAATTCCCAAAACTGATATTCACTACTGAAGAAACCATCACTATGAAATGTATACAGTAATCAGCAAAAAATACCCTGAGGCCTTAAGCCTTGATTTCTTTACTGAAATGGAATGCCAGGAATTTGATTTGATGGCCCTGATCCAAACGTCAGAGTTCTTTTTTTCCAAATTCATGGATATTCATAATCCGATGGATGGATGGACATGCCTAGACCTGTAAGCCTTGATGGATGGATGGAATGCCTAGGCCTTCAGCCTAATCTAGGAGGAAAATCTCACTTTGGTAAAATCCATCAGTATAGTGCTAACAAAGTTTCATAATCAGTGCAGTGCAGTTTCAAACACTAACAAGCATATCGTGGTGTCACCAAGGGATGCAACTCTGAAGAGAGACTTAAACACCTGTGGCCTTTCTACATAGCAGTACTGTAAACATTTATTGGAGCAGCTCATAAAAACAACATCTTCAAGCTAATAAAATGTCCTCATATAATCTAACCTTTTGAGGGATTCCCTGTCACTATCACACACAACTCATGTTACACAAAGCTTGACTTGGATTAATGTTATGTGTGATGATATAAACAAATCTTCAAGCAGCAGTTTTACTTCAGACTTGTAGCTTTAAGTAGAACATTGTCTGAATTCTGACTCCATATAATGCTGGGTTTCATTTGACATCTGAGAGTTGTTAACAAAACGGAAACCTATTCCAGCCTGTGTTATATCCAACTCATCGCTAGGTTTCACATTTTAATTAAATTGTGTTTAATTTGACGAAAGTAATAAAACTAAGACGTTTGACATTCATAGCAAGCAGACACCAGCTAATATGTCTTGTTGGAAACAGAATCTATGGTACAGTCTGTCATGTTTTAATGCACCTTGAACAAAGCATCTGCATGATGTAATGTATCATAATGTATCATTTGCATTCCTGAAGGCTGGTTACAATATCATGTTTTACATCATGTTTAGGTATAATTGTAGCAGGGTAAGGGGTGGTTCCGTTCAGTGAAGATCAACGCCTGCTGGGGTGTGAGTTGTGACTTGTGCCACTACTTTTTTTCTCAAATATATAGTTTGTTTTGTTTTCACCCTGTAACATAATAACAATAGTCAATAAAACAGTCATATCACATCTGTACTAATAAAGTAGATTACACAACATTATCTGTACTGTGATATTCTTATAAATATACACAATAAACAGTTGTTAAAATTATATGGTATCTCAAGTGGCAGACATTACATGTACCATCAAGTAGACAACATGGCCGACAAAGATGGCCGCTAAGCAGGCATACATGCTTGTGTATCACCTGACTTCATAAAAGATTACAATTATTACTAATAAACTTATAATGAAAATGCTGATGCAGTAAACATGAAAATCATGCCTATAAACACACAATATTTGACTTACAATATATTCTTAAAACACATCCATACCTTCACATCACACATTTAATATTATAACCTAAGCAAGAATAATGTTTATGATATAACTATAGTTAACAAATATTACATCCTACATAATGTTTATAATTAAGTTAACTAACCTTGAACAGAGAGAAGTTGTAGACGAAAAAGGAGTGGAAATCAGACGTCTGTCAAATTGTCACGTCATATGTTTGAGGTGCCTTTCTTGTGCAGCTGTATGTGGTAGACTGACTAAAATGTGCTGATGTTAGTAAAGAAGAAATCATACAACATAAAACTGACCAATCAGAGATCAAGGAATAGCTTGCCCTCTGAGTTAAGAACAAAAGAACACCCTGCTCTCCCACAATAATACAATAGCAGCCCAGGTCCAGCTTGGGGTAATCAAGCTGGAGACAAATACCAAACATACTCTAATAAAAACCTAATCCAATAAAACTACCACAACCAAACTGTTTAAAAATGATACCGTATTTACACAAATAAATAAATAAAATGTAAAATATGACACTGCCACATAATTAACAGAACATATTTAACATAGAAAAAGCATCCAGCTTTAGGTGAGGGAGGTGAGTTGAAATTTGGTTTTACGTCGTGCTTGAGAATATTTTGCTCATATGACGACGTGCATGCATGTGTATGTGTATGTGCGGCTGCTTGTACTAGCCCAGACTTAAGCTGGTTTTATAGTGCTAGCCCACTGAGATACCATGCTGCAGTTAAGCATGAATACCCCACTCAGACACATTATACTGACTCCGAGCCGACCAGTCCTTGTTGTACCCATTAATGCCGAGCACCAGGCAGGGACCAACAAGTACCATATATTAACGTCTTTTGGTATGACGTGGTCGGGGATCGAACCTGCAACCTTCCGCTCTCCTTCAGCTTTAGGTGACATTATATAGTTGACAGTTGTAATCTAAATCTATATAACTGCCAGTGTTACTGTTAGTTGTGTCCCCGGGTTCGATTCCCCACATGGGTACAATTTGTGAAGTCCATTTCTGGTGTTCCCCGCCGTTATATTGCTGGAATATTGCTAAAAACGGCGTAAAACCATACTCAGTCAGTCAGTCAGTCAGTTAGTTGTAAATTTAAAAGAAACATTTGTAAACGTAGTTATATTTTTTACATATTATTTTTTTCATTTTGGTTCCAGTCTCCTTTGCATTATAACCAGGACTAACAATAACATAGAACTGAGGACAACTGAAAGGTTACAAAATGTTCACTCGCAATGTACAGGTGGTTCAAAGTGGTTTGATACTTCTCATGACAGATTATTTGTGTAATAACACGGAACTTTAGTACAGTTTGTTTAATGCCTCACTGTGCAGTATTTAATGTATTACATGGTAATCTGTAAATAATTTCCCAATTGCGTAGATCGATGCTCATGCTGCTGATCACTGGATTGTCTGGTCCAGACTCGATTAGTTACAGACCGCTGCCATATAGCTGGAATATTACTGAGTGCAGCATAAAACTTAACTCACTCACTCATTGTAAATAATTTAGTCTGGACCAGGCAATCCAGTGACTGACATCATGAGCATCATTCAGTGCAGTTGATGACACACATCAACCAAATCAGTTAGCTTGATCACAAGATTCTGTTAGTCCATCTTATGGCATTGGGTGCTGTTGACAAATTCTAAGCTGGATGTTCTTAGGGAAACAAGCATGGGTTGTTCTAACCTTGATCTTCTGGTTGAAGCAAGTGCAGTTTGTTGAAGACCAACTTTAACCCGAATCTTCACAGGTCTGCTTTAGTATTTTCTGATCCAGGTAGCAAGACTGCATTAGGACCACACTTTTATTTGTCCACTTTTCACAGGAATTGTTAGCATTAAGATACAGAATATACTGGGCTGAATGGAGGATTGAACAGAGATAACGGATGGGGCTTCTTAGGGTAGGGTTGGATAACAGGTGGGATTCTTGAGGTAGGGTTGGATAACGGGTTGGACTCATGAGGTAGGGTTGGATAACGGGTCGGACTTGTGAGGGTAGGGTTGGATAACGGGTCTGACTTGTGAGGGTAGGGTTGGATAACGGGTCAGACTTGTGAGGGTAGGGTTGGATAAAGGATGGGATTTTTCAGGGTAGAGTTGGATAAAGGATGGGATTTTTCAGAGTAGGGTTGGAAGAGTAGGACTAATGAGGGTAGGGATGGATAAGGGGTGGGATTTGACTGGGTTAGGATTGGATAAAAGGGTGGGATTTAACTAGATTCTGGAAGGATAAATGAGTTTAACTTGGGTAGGGTGTGATAAAGGGAGGAGTGGGTAAAATATGTGATTTAAATAAAGTAGGGTCGGAGTGAGTGAGTGAGTGTAGTTTTACGCCGCACTCAGCAATATTCCAGTTATATTGTGGCTGTCTGTAAATAATCGAGTCTGGACCAGACAATCCAGGGATCAACAGCATGAACATGCAATTGGGAACCGATGACATGTGTTAACTTCTTTACAATAAAGACCAAGTATCTTGCATAACTTCAGTGGGATCCCGCTCTCATCAAAGTGGAATTCCACCTGTGCATGGGTCTGATATATGACTGGGATGAAGCCCGGTGCACAGCCAGCATCACATTGAAATTTCCATCCAGGCAATGCACTGGTAGTAACAATGTGTGACCTGGCTCACTGTGTTTGTCATCTAATACCACAGAAAGGACAAACTTGCTAGCCAAGACTTGATTATTTACAAACCAGTGTGATACAGCCAGAATATTGTTGATTATCTTACAAATCAAAAACATCATTCATGACTTTCTGCATCATTAGAAAATAACAGCCCCTGAGTCTAGCTTTTGAAATTTAATACCCTCTGCTATGAAAAGCACTCTCAACATCAAAACCTGCATTATATCGAAAAAGCATTCCCTAATTAGATTACAAAAAACATGTACATCAATCCAGGTAGTGTTACGATCAGTGGATGGGTTAGGGGTGATCACAATGAACTTCTGTGGGGTTAAACTGATGTAAGACAGCATGTTTCCTGATAACAGCATCAGGTAGTTCACCTTCCCTAAATGTCACCTAGTTCTTCTGTGTAGAAATTCTGATAGAGCTAATTGGTTTGGCTCACATTTTTATGATTGCCTTGTAAAATATGTAAAAACATGTAATATCTTTGAAATTTAAAACTTGACATCAATACTGGCATAGACAAAGAGTCTCTGTTTGAGAATATTGTGATATTGCAGCTTTAGGACAATTTAAACAGGATCAAACAAACCAATCATCAATAGTGAGATGAAATTTACCCTTTGGGCCAACAGAGCTGCCCAAATAGAATTCCAGTGTTGTCAAGTATATGTTCATTAATTTCTTTAAAACAAAAGGGATTCTTGTCATACATATATCGATCCCCATGTAAAATATCAATCTTTGTATTTTAACGTAGCCATAGCAAACAAATTCATGGAGAGCAATATATTTTGTTAAAGCATGTGAACCTGTGGTATATACTGAATTAACCCCAGCAACTTGCTGTTGCATTTTTATGGAAACGCTGATACCTTGCAGAACCCTTCCTCATCTGATAGTGCAGAGCCAAGCATTATGGGTAATTTGGCCTGTTCCGGTGAGTGTGAGTTGTTCATAATAATGTCTATCTCGGAACAAAGAGCCATGTGGCATTTTGTCACCCCTTGACAATCACCGATGGATAATGGTGTATTTACGCTCAGTGACATCCCCATCCCCTACTCAATAGAGAGCTACACGTCTGCTCCCCACGAAAGACAAAACTCGGGCTATTCCGAGATTGCGTCTAGCCAGAATTAGTAAAGTCTGAACGGTGTTTCCTTGGATCAGGAAATAAAACGAAAAAGGTCAGAGCAAAATTGCAAAGAAGGTGATTTCCATAAAACATCAAATTTCACACATAACTACATTCCTCGTCTGAGGAAGTGGAGAAGTAGGAGGACTTTTGAGGAGAATTACAGTGACTTGATAATCAGAAATACAGGAAGGTCCTCCACCACCAGACAGACGATGACGTAAATGACGTGAACGACGTCAATTCTTTCATTGCTGTGGCATGATGGATTCATGTATGGTGGTTACATTTACAGGACCAGTCTGTCAACCTAGAAACTAATCACATAGAACATAGATAAAAATCTCAGTGAGTGACTTAAACTTTTCAGCTGAATCAGCATTTTTGTAACTATATAGAAACAAGTGAGTGAGTGGGTTTAGTTTTACGCTTCTTTTATCCATATTACAGCAATATCACGGTGGGGGACACCGGAAATGGGCTTCACACATTGTACCCATGTAGGGAATTGAACCTGTGTCTTCAGTGGGACGAGCGAACACTTTAACTGCTAGGTTACCCGGTGTTCAATTAAAAGGTCCTTAAAATAGTACTAGTAAAATAAGTCCTAAATTGTATAGATAAAAATAGTCCTCCGGAAAAAAAGACCCCTTTTTGTTTTCTTACAAGAAATGTATAGAAAAACAACGCTTACCCCGGGTTACCCCTCACCCCACAAGGCAATGAAACCACCAACAAGGAGTGAATGAGTGAGTTTAGTTTTACGCTGATTTGTTAGCAATATTCCAGCAATATCAGGGCGGGGAACACCAGAAATGGGCTTCACACATTGCACCCATGTGGGAAATCAGGACCTTCGGCATCACAAGCGAACACTTTAATCACTAGGCTACCCCACCCCCACCAACAACAATAATATAGTAAATGGTTAGCATACATTTGGAAGTTAAAAATTAACTGATAAGTATTTTAAGAAGAATCAATAACAATGTAAATCGTATGTTCGTCTTTGGTAAATTCAGTCTACTGGCCCAGCAACTGAAGCTGGGCCACAAAACTGGGCTCATGAGTATTTTGTTCATTACCCTGGAGACAGGAGAACACAATGCAACATGACAAATACTGTAATTGATATAACTAGCAACCTGGGTGTTACAACAGGTCAGGGCAAAAGGGGCACCTGCTAAACAAGCATCAATGGAGGGTACTATCTGAACATCACTGGTGTCTCAATGGCATACAATACATCATGCCACATACTGTAATTGATATAACTAGCACCGTAGGTGTTTAATTAAGTCTGGGCAAAAGGGGCACTTGCTGAGCTTGCATCAATGGAGGATGCTATGGGAACATGGTGTGGGTGCACAATGAAATCATTCTCTTATGAAATGTTTACAAATGTAACATTATTACACATGAAAAGTAAAGATATTGATCACACAAACTTGAATGTTTACAGCAACTACTATAGATTATTCTGGTTTGATCTGCAGTAAAGGAGGTTGTTAGCTATTAATCAGGGGAGTCATGACACACAAAATTCATTGCAATGTTTGTGTGGCCTAACATTCTGTTGTTGATTTTAAGCTGACTTTTCTTCTAATTTTGGAATAGAAAGTATCCAGTCACTAAACCAGTACTTCTATTTTGAAAATTAAAAGCACTCATAACTTCTTTGAGAGGCATTTTAGAAGTTGTATAGATGAAGGAAAAACCCAGTTCTATGGATAGTCAACTTCTTTATTGCAATGAGTGCGACGTTTTGGTGTAGGTACTAACACCGTTATCAAGCAAGTGACTCGCACTCATTGCAATATAGAAGTTGGCTATCCATAGAACTTGGTTTTTCCTAAAAGTACTCAGTTAACCATTAGGAACAAAATCTTCTGCAAGCAAAATAATTAAAATTAGTAAACATATTTAGCCTTTATTAGAATAATATTAATACAGTCTTTCAGTCACTTTGGAACATTGTTTTCATCATTTGGGACTGGATTGTGTCCAAGCTTTTTTTCAAAGTATACGAACATAACAGTGACAGCCTTCCGGGGGAAGCTGGCAGAGAGCAGAATTATTTTGTAAATGATGCAACGGGATATGATGGAGTATGAGTGGCATTAATGTGGTGTTTCGCCAGACCGTTATCTTGCGAATTTCCCATTCTAAACGGAAACAAATATACCATTTACCAGGTAGGTAAATTTTTACAATTGTTTGCTGCACATTTTGTACATAGATAGGGATGTATTTTTACAAGGCTTTCTGATTTATATGTTAGATATTGTTTGCTTATGTTTGGGACTGTGTATTGTAATTGAGTTTGAATATTTTTATAATAGAAGGTAATATGATAGTGAGGTTCCCTCATAATTGTGTAGGAAAAATCATATAATTGTATTTATCGAGTTTAAATAAAATTTTTTATCAGCATTTCCATCATCGTCTGTTGTGTTGATACTAGTCATGTTGGTGGTCAAGCTGAACTAGTGCGGCAGTGTTGTATATGAGCACAGTGAAGCGCAATGAAATCAAACGCATTTTCAATCCAAAAACTTCCAATTGCTTATGTGGAAAATTCCAAAGTCCGCGTCAAAATCCATGGAGTTGTTGTTATGATCCGCCATCATTGTGGTCAAACGGAAGTAGTTCTTACAATAAGATTTGTTAATGGGCAGTGAAGTGGCCTTAAAATCAGATGAGCGAGCGAGCGAGTGGTTTTACGCCGCTCTCAGCAATATTCTGGCAATATGAAAGGGGACACCAGAAAAGGGACTTAACACATTGTACCCATGTGTGGAATCAAACCTGGATCTTCAGCATGATGAGCGGACACTTTAACCATTAGGCTACCCCACCACCACCCCTTACAAAGAGACTGCAGTGTCAAATTTGACACAGGACTCGCACTTTAACATGTTACCAGGCTGAACATGGGCACTATATCAGACAGCAAACAGTCCCCCTTTAAGACATGGATCACTGCCATGTGAAGCTTCTGTTAAGTTTGGTTTTACGCCGCTTTTAGCAATATTCCAGCAACGTCATGGCGGGGAGACACTAGAAATGGGTTTCACACATTGTACCCATGTGGGGAATCGAACCCGGGTCTTCAGCATGACGAGCCAATGCTATAACCACTAGGCTACCCCACCGCCCCCAAACAAAACACATAGGAGTTTCCTATATATTACTCAAAGAAGTTAAAGAACGCCCTTTTCCTTTCCTATTACAATAATTGGTCTGACATATCAACAATAGTAATATACAGGAAATCCGGTGTTCTTTATGGTTGCATAACAGATCAACTATGATAACACTATCTACTTGCCTGTCCAACCTACAGACCGCCTCCGTGGTGTAGTGGTTAGAACGTCCGCCCGGAGAGTGGAAGGTCGCGTGTTCGATACCCGACTGCGTCATACCAAAAGACGTTAAAATATGGTACTTGTTGGTCCCTGCCTGGCGCTCGGCATTAATGGGTACAACAAGGACTGGTCGGCTCGGAGTCAGTATAATGTGTCTGAGTGGGGTATTCATGCTTCACTGTGGCATGGTATCTCAGTGGGCTAGCACTATAAAACCAGCTTCAGTCTGGGCTAGTACAAGCAGCCGCACATACACATACACATGCATGCACGTCGTCATATAAGCGAACTATTCTCAAGCACGACGTAAAACCCAATTTCACCTCACCTCCAACCTACACTGTGTTAAGAAATGAAATGGTATATTACAAAAATGGGTACAGCTTAAACACAATTCTAACCTAGCCATCTTAAAATCTGTTTACCTATTCATCACTGCTTCTTGTAGATTTGGTACCAAATATGGTTGAAGAATTGTTAGCTTTAAGAAATATATCGGTTGTTATAATGGAATTGCTATTTAAATATTAATTATCATCAGACTGTACATTAACCTTGTGGTTTGTCATGTGATTATCTAGATCTTGTATGATAATTTGGGTTTATTTACCTTTGTAAATTGTATTGGAGGTGAGGTGAAATTCGGTTTAACGTCGTGCTTGAGCATATTTCGCTCATATGACGACGTGCATGCGTGTGTATGTGTATGTGCGGCTGCTTGTACTAGCCCAGACTGAAGCTGGTTTTATAGTGCTAGCCCACTGAGATACCATGCCGCAGTGAAGCATGAATACCCCACTCAGACACATAATACTGACTCCGAGCCGACCAGTCCTTGTTGTACCCATTAATGCCGGGCGCCAGGCAGGGACCAACAAGTACCATATTTTAACGTCTTTGGTATGACGCTGTCGGGATCGACTCCACGAACTTCATCTCGGTGGACGCTCTAACCACTACACCACGGAGGCGGTTAAATTGTATAGTAGTGGCATTAATATAAGCTTGTAGCTTGTTTGCCAATCCATTCGTCTCACGAATAAATATGTCTAACCATAAGATGAAAGAAAATTGTGTTCTTTAACTTTTCACGAATAAATATGTCTAAGCATAATATGAAAGAAAATCGTGTTCTTTAACTTTTCACGAATAAATATGTCTAACCATAATATGAAAGAAAATGGTGTTCTCCTTTTGAGTAGTATAGCTGTGGTATATCGCATGCATTATAACCCACAAAACATCATCACTGCATGAATACACATAGTAGTGAACTGAATCTACTGGGCATCAACAATGCAAGGGAAGTAACTCTTTCAAGGAGCTTCAGCCTGTTCCAAAAATATAAAACATTATCCATTCAGAGAAACATCATTTCAAAATAATAACCTAAGTTAGTGTTTCATCAGAATTAGGAATTCTCATCAATATGAATAATGAATGAAGTGCACGTTGAACAAATCAGTCCCTTCAGAGGGAACAATCAATATATTTCATCACGTTTCTATTTAGTTTAATTTATTATAAATCAGGTTATGGAAATAAAGGAAAATACTGACAAAATTCTGCATCCATAAACATATGACTTCCACTGTAATGAAATTATTGAACCTTTAATCTATATTTCATGTCAGTTCATTTACAATTATTTTCAACTCTTTTCAAAGTTAATGTTGATTTTTACAAAAATGAATTTCTTGCTTTTTTCTTTCAGATGCTTCAGATGACCTTAAATATTACTCTGGTTCATATATGGCAGTTCCAGAATGATCTAACAATGAGTAATTTAATCAACAAGACAAGAATATAATATAATGTTCACCGTGTCTAGACAAGCAATTTCGGTGTCATTTCTCACAAGGTCACCCTTCATCATTTAATGAAACACAATAATGCTGCATCATATAACAAAATGACACAGTATCTGATAAGTA